AAAAAAAAAAAAAAAAAAAGATATTACAGTGGTCAGCAGGTGGCATACTGGTTAAGGCGCTAGACTCCCATATGATTAACCACAGTTTGAGTCTCGGACCCCGCAGCTTGAAACTCCTACCAGGTGCACGTGCTTGCATACCTAAAGTCCAAGAAGAAAATGGAGAAGAAAGGACGTGACACGACCATCCCCCCCCGGGGGCTGATTTCTCACCTTCTCTCTCTCCATCTCTCTCTGTCTCTCTGGTGAGTGCACATACTCTATAGCAAAACTCTCTAAAAAAATTACAAAGGACACAAAGATGAAGCAATGGATAGGAGGGTGGGGTATGGCAGGGCATGGGGTGGGGGTGCAGAGTGTCCATGCCCTCTCTGGGTGCACCATCCTCCCAGCATCTCCATGTGTTCAGCCACCTGGAAGCTCCCGTTCAGACAGTTACTTAAAAAATGGGCAGATGGAGTAAAACACTCTAACTGACCTGTGCTTCAGGACCCAGCAATGGTGATGGGCAGGTCTTTATAGATTGTGCCTGGTTTTACTTAACCTATTCATACAGAGCTGTAAGGAATTCCTTCTTTTTCTTTGTTTTCTTTTTTCTCTCTCTTTCATTCTTTCATAAAAGTTTAGCTACTGCCAGACAAAACGAGGGACGTGAAAACATTTGATAAAGTATTATAAACATGTTACAGTTTTTTAATTCAGACACTGCTGGTGTTTATTATCGCTCGAGCTTTCTAATAGTAAAACACTCTAACTGGCCTGTGCTTCAGGACCCAGCGATGGTGATGGGCAGGTCTGAAATGACAGGGATGACCTCTAGCAATACTCTCTACTCCATCCTTACTCAGGAAATGTTAAAAACACCTAAGCAGCTGCATTGCAGTTACTGACCAATCAGAACAACACTGGCTGGTGTAACACAACGGCGAATGTTGCTGCAGAGCGGCCTTACCTACTGAGCTAGTCTCCACTCAGACAAACCACATTAGAAGTTAACTTCATTTTATAGCTAATTTTTAGGCCATATGTGATTCACATAATTTCCCAGGTCAGAAACTTTCTGAATGATCCAGTCAAGTTATTCTTAACCCGGAAGTTTTATGCCTTTTGATGTTTGAGGATTTATTCTCAGGGTCTATTAATTCTCTACTTTGTTTATAATGGCTTTGATTCTTTTTGGTGATAATCTTGAAAAAATTATTAGACATCCATCCTGGGTCTTTTGGGTAACTGCTTGATTTTTCTCTTCTCTCATGTATTTTTTTTTTTTTTGAGAGGTTTTTGCTATAGGGCGCGTGCGCTCACCAGACAGACAGAGAGAGCCAGAGAGACAGAAAGCGAGAAATCACCCCCCAGGGGGGATGGTCACGCTGCTATCCCTTCTCCTCCATTCTCCTCTCGGGATCTTGGGCACACACACACACGCGCCCGGCGTGAGTTTTAAGCCACCGGGTCTGGGACGCAAACCGCGGTCAACTACGTGGGAGTCCAGTGACATAGCCATTATGCTAACTGCTGGTTCCCTCTGCTCTCATGCATTTCTGTGCCTTCATTCTGCGGCCCACAGAACGTGATGAACTTGGCCTTAAACTTTTTAATGTAGCTGCGATGGATGTAGTGGCTAGATGGCCTCAGGATTTTTGTCAGCTGCCAGTGCTTAAGCTTGTGAAGGAAGCTTGCTCCAATCCGTCCTAATCCACTGCGAAGTCCTACTCCATCTTCCCACTCTTCTGCTTAACTCTTCTAGTGGAGGCACTCATATCAAATGGGGTCATGGATTTGTGAGCTTGGAAGGACCGTAGTGGCCCTGCAGCCCAGCCCGCAGAGTGGCAAGTGACTTCCTGAAGTTTCACCACCATTAGAGGAGGATTTGCAATCCTGAGAATCCCCGGTTGTGTTCTGTGCCTCCAAGTCACCCGCTTACTCTTTCAGACAACTTTCATTGTTCTTTTCTGGGTTGACTGGAATCTGCGGTCTGGAGCCTATTTAAAACCAATTGACCTCTGGGGCAAGCAGATGGCATAGCAGTTATGTGGATGGATTCCCACATGGCTAATTATGGTTTGAGTCCTGGACCCCATGGCTTAAAACCCATGTCGGTTACGTGTACAGTGCATGCCAAGTTCCCAGGAGGAGGAGAATGGAGGAGAAGGGGTTGCACCATGGCTGTCCCTGCTGGGGGGTGGGGGGGGGAATTTCTCACTTTCTCTCTCACTGTCTCTGTCCCCCACCCCCCACCTCACCTCCCCATGAGCACACAGGCCTTAAGGCAAAAAACCTTCTACCAAAACAACCACTATCACCAAAAAACAAAATAAGCATTTGATCTCATCTAAACTCTGGAACTATACAGGTAACTGCCCTCTGGTGAGGAATATATTGTATGTGACAAATCATTCGGCCTTTTTTCTGATCAGATATGGGCTTTGTTGAAAGTCTGCCATTTTTGCTTATGGGTGTGTTCAGAATGTAACAACACATTCATATCCTTGAACAGGAACTCAGTTTTTGAATTTAGTTTTTAAAAAACAGACCCCTTACGAAATTTGTTTTCAAAATGAAGCCTTTTAAAAAAGTATTAGAAAGCGGGGCTGGCAGGTGGTGTGGTGGTTAAAGGCGCTGGACTCCCACATGACTGAGCACTGTTTGGGTCCCAGACCTGCTGGGCTGCTTTCTCACTTTCCCTCTCTCACTCTCTCTCTGTCTCTCTCTGATCAAACTGGAAAATAATAATAGTAATAAATAAAGTTAAATAAAAATAATGTAAAAAAGTATTAGAAGGAAATGCTCTGCTTAAATAATGGCTCATTTGGCCATGTGAATAACCAATTTTCTAACATGATTTTTACACATTCTGAATTTTTATAATTTTTTAATTAAAAGATTTAAATTGTATTCCTTTTACTTTTTTTTTTAATTGCTAGAAAGTGTGTATACTTGCCAGAGATGGAGAGAGATGAATTGCTCCCCAGTGGGGTGTGGTTGTGCCCGCGTCCCTCCTCCTCCATTTCTTCATCCTGTCGGGATCTGGGGCACACATACACATGTGCCTGCCATCAGGGCTGGGATCTGAACTGTGGCTGGACATTTGGGATCCGGCTCTCTTAACCACTAGGGTCAGGGGCCCTAATTTTTACTTTTGAAATGTAATTTTGAATCAGTAATGTTTTTGCATTGTTCGAAGATATGAAAATAGCAATTATACCCACCAGATTCCTAGACCTTCCTACGTCCTCATCTCATAGGTAATTTCAGGGTTTCTTAAAGCAAATACAGCCAC